GCTGCCTATGCCTCACAACAGATGTGACATTGCCAGGTGTGTTGTATGAAGGAACTTTCTGCCCTCACCCGATACACAGGAAGCCACAGCAGCAGTGCTCCAAGAGTTAAGAGCAAAGATACCACTGCAGGACCCCAAAGCAAGCCTTTTCCACCATCCTGCTGGGCCTTCCCAATTGTTCTGTTTTCAACTCATCCTTCACCTTTTGTGGCAGATGATGTCATTTCTCTAAGCTCTTCATCCATCTTGGGACAGTAGCTTAAACAAGCTTGAAGTGCAATCAGAGCCCCACAGCAATGAGTCACGGCATTTTAATCTTATCTCCTGGTTTAAATTTCTTTTTGCATTTGGTTTTTGAAAAGAAGGAATATAAACAGTTGCTTTACATAAAGTCAATTTTTTCAAAACTTAAGAGCCAGACCAACCAGTGGGTAGATGCTTCAACACCATAATGTACAGGCTCCATCCAGGTCTCCTCGTATCTGCTTTCTGGATTGCTTCCCAGGCAGTAGCCACATGTGGCCTTGTCTACCTGTCCGGCGACTTCCACTTCGTGGGCCACTTGTGCAAATCTCATGACTTGCTGCACCACAAAGCAAATGTGGTCTATAAAAGGTAAGCATCTTCGAGTCCTTTTTCAGAAATCACTGCGTGAAGCAAAAGTAGACTGATTAGTTCACTTGTATTTTCAGTGGTTTTATATCAATTTATATAATGTTTCAAATATAAATATTTACATCCAGATAGCTGACTTCCACCCCCCACCAAGGAAAAACAAAGCAAAAACAAAAAACAAAGAAGTAAAAACTTACCAGGTTTTCTCTGTAATTGGTGGACTTGGGATTCATGTACACAATCATTTGCACCTTTCCTTTTCCAGTGAAATAGTTCTTTAACCAGTATGTTAACTTCGCATCTTGGTATGGAACCAGCTACATGAACATTCAAGTGTAAGCACACAGGGCAAACACCCATCAAAAACACCAAGTATGTGGTCAAGGCCAGCTGCCACCAACCGTATTAATTCCAGAGCTCTGGTGCTCTCAGGAGCTCGATACGCATTAGTGTCATTACTGTCTGTCTGATGTGATCTCACCAAAAAAACATACGAAGAAGGCCCTTGAAAACAAGACAGGACCTCAGATGTGTTGTGTGTGCCTGTAAAATCTAAACTTCATACTATGAGATGGAAACCAGGAACACATTTTCATGGCTCAGTTAAGTAGTGGTCTATGCATGGTTCATACTCTTTTTTTTTTGAAACAGTGTTAGGGGCCGGGGAGGTGGCTCAGTGGACTAAGTGCTTCCTTGGCAAGCGCAAGGGCCGGAGTTCAATCCCTAGTTCCGCCAAAAAAAAACCCAAAACAAAAAGTTACAGACAGGATTCCATGTCTGCATCTTGTACTATGAATAACCACTAAGAAGATAACAATATACAATGTATTAATTATTGAAATTGTTTTATTAATCGGTTTTGAAACTCTCATTGCTATCTGTTTCTCAATAAAATTAATAATAAAAATAAAAATAAAAGTAAACAAGAGACAAAAAAACCCAAAATGTCATAGGATTGTCCTGCTACAAAGTTATATATGGCTTGATTTCTAAATTTCTGTGTAAAAAATGTGTAATTGTTATTAAAATTTCATTTATTTTTAAATAAATTGGAAATAAAAATGAATTTTGATATCAAAAAAGAAAAAGAGACAGGGTCTTGCTATGCAATTCAGGCTGGCCTTGAACTCACTATGTAGCCCAGGCTGATCTCAACTTGGCAGTGATCCTCCTGTCTTAGCTTCTTGAGTGCTGGGATTACAAGCATGTGCCACCACACCTAGCCAGACTGTTTCTACATAAGCACTTCTATTTAATAGGTTAAAAAAGCATTCTCTGGGGCTAGGGACATAGGTCAGTGGTACAAGCACCTGCCTGGCAAGCACAGGATCCTGAGTTCAAGAATCCATAAGCAGCATAGTTATTTCTGACCAATCTTGTTTGATTTCTTAGCAAAGGCAAGCCTTATACATCCCTCAAGCTTCTAAAACTACAGAAAGCAACTGATTAGTGCACCTAAGAATGCGTTCATTTTGGAACCTCATTAAGGGCAGTGAGCTCCATGGTGCTATGGTATCTGGCTTACCAAATAGATGAGATAGGACTAAGTTTAAAGGTCAATGATAATGTTTGAGTTATGCTGGTTTGGTATAATGTAAACTATCTGAAATAGAGACAATGATGCCACAGCTGCCATTGATAGTATAGACAATAAACTGGAAATGGAAGTTTCTGAAAGCTGTAGTAAGTGTGATAATTTCCCCACCTGCCTCATGCAATCTGTTCTTTCCTGTTTCTGTCCTGTTATTTCACTGCCAGCAAGGTCTATCAGGAATAGCTGCTTATGGAAATTTGTTCTTTTTCCTAAAAGGGATCACAAAGGCAACAATGTAAATTATGATGGCTTAATGTTCTTGAAACAGAATCAAGTCAATAAATCAAGTCTTAACAAATGAGATATTTGCATAACGTACAATGTGCAGGGGAGGCTGTAAGTGTATGATAAAAACACTCATGACATGAAACCGCCCCTTTTCTGCACCAGAAGATGCAGGCTGCCTGGCAACAGGGACTCATCTTTCCACTTTATCTCCAATACCCCACTCCTTTCTGTGAAGTGATTCAAAGGAAACCAAGTATGTATGGAAGGCTGATTCATACCCAGTTTCTGGCTGAAGTGTGTTACCTGAGCAACTATCACATTTATTGCTGACTGTAAACCAAGCACTGGGTCATGTACTTTATGAGCATCCTACCCGTTAGGCCTCACAATCTTTTCTTCTTTCTTTTTCCTCAGTACTGAAGATTGAAACCAGGGCTTTCATACTGAGCTATACCTCCAGCCCTTTTATATAGTTCTTATTTTGAAAAGTGACTCACTAAGTCACAAAGCTGGGTGGAACCGAGCTTGCAGTCTTCCTGTTCCAGCTTCTCAGTGTGCTGGGATTACAGGTTTGCACCACTACACAATCTTAGGAGGAGATTCTACTACAGTATTAGACTATTTTTTAACAAATTTTATTTATTTGTGTGTGTGTGTGTGTGTGTGTGTGGTGGCCAGCTCGCCCACCAGGGGGCGGGGCTGGCTGGCATGTGGTGCTGGGGGATTGAACCGCGGTCCCTGTGCTTTGCTAAGCTTGTTCTAAGTAGGTGCTTTAGACCACTGAGCCATCTCACCAGCCCCAACAGTATTAAACTATTATAGTTAGGTCAGACAACTAGTAAATAGGAATAAGAATTCAAGTCCTGGTAGTCTACAATATCATTTTTTCCTGGTACCAATAAACCATCATGTCACAATTGCATGATACAGTATTATGATTACAGCTAAACAACTTAAAAGTTATTAATTATGTACTAAGGTGTAAGCATTGCTAATGATTGCTGTAAGCCTTACAGCATGCCAGGTGCGGCAGTAACTAGAGATCAGCACAAGGAGCTCCACCAGCTCATTTGCTGAAAGAGAAGTGACTTAGAGCACTGGCTACCCCTTAACTGTATTTATGTTAGAAAGCCATTTAAAAAGATAAATTTCCCCATACAAAGGAGTCATTAAGGCTAAAATAATCAATTGCACATTATTCTAAGAGACTTTAAAAAAACTGTAAATCCTTTTCATAGCAAAATTCCAGGTGCACAGATATTATGTAATGAGAAAAAAAGATTATTTTAAAGTATCAGCTATGTGTATAGCAGAAAACACCCGTATCACCCATCTCCACCCGCAGCCTGTATACTTCAGTTTCTTAGTTGCTCAGGTAACAGTTCCTCTTCTACTTCTGGCTGTTTCTGTTTTCTGGAAATGGCTGATCACTGGGATGCATATTGTATAAAGCAGTCCCCAGTGGTTAAGCCATTCTGCTTCTGCATTTCCTGCTTGCTTATCCAATATAAACTCTAGACCACCAGAGATCGGGAATGATCCGAATCAGGGCCCAGTGATATAAATATACCTGCCTCCAAATCCTGGGCATTGTTTCAGTGTTTCTGCTTGAGATTGCAGGTATACATTAATTCTAGAGCAGTCCTCACTGCAATATCACCTTTTGTCATTTAAGTCCAGAAACTGAGGACTGAGGCCAAGAGCAAGCCCACACCTCACAGTTTAGCTGCCAAACATTGTTCCCCTTCGTATGAAGCAGAGCCTTCACTAGTTTAATGCTGAACACATGATGGGAACAGCTGGACTCCGGGTTCAAGTGTGTGTTGCAATGGTGTCTCTTTGTCTGGCCTATGATGACAGAAATTGGTAATCAGACCTTAATTATTTCATTATGCATGGCATTCTGATATACCAAAAAGGACTGCTATCAAATTAGAGTACCTGCTGTCAGGGTTCAGTTCCTTACTTTATATTCTTTTACTTCTAGTGGTATTTCTAACCTCTCCAGAAAACTTCCAAAGCCTCACTTGCTTTCACTTCCACTGGAGTTCAACCTGAAACATACATGTTATTGTTCTTATCTTCTAGCAGCACTGTAGACTGTGGCCATCTATGGGAAAGAGAACAAGGGGAGATTCCTAAACTGGGAGATACTAATGTGTCCGCTGATGACTAGAACCACATTGCTCAGCAACTCTAGTGCCACCTGGAGATAAGCTCACTTAGGACCCCAGAGAAATGTTAGAGTACCATGGTGAGCGTCACAGTCCAGGTCACTTACATAACAAGGGAACGGGAAGCAGTTTGCTCTGGTTTGCTAACAAAGCCCACTTTATGAATGAAACATTCATAAACTACAGCGCAGTAGGACCATGGTGACCCCCATACACAGCTTCACACCACAGCGGGACACTTCCCAACTGGTTGTGCCCTCCAGAGCAGCAGAGCACCCACACATATGACGGAGCTCGACCACTTCTTCAGCAGTAGCACCATTCCCAAAGATAGTTCCCAGAGCAAGGAAGACACAGAGGTAGCAACCAGCCCAGAGCCAGTGAAATCAAGAGTGTACCACACAAACAGAAACAGCAAAAGTTAACAGCTCAGAAAAGCAGGTCTACAAAATTAGAGAGAAAGGAGGGTTGCAAGGAAAGCCAACATTTTGGCCCTAGCTTTCTAAGGTCAATTAAGACTCAGAACATATGAGAACTTGTACTGCAACATCATGTAACTCAGTAGTGTCCCAAATTTTCTGATCAAGGAGATTATGGGGCCAAAGAGGAAAGTGATT